AGGCCAGTCCTTCACAGCCTGTACCTTCCTCTGGTCCATGTGAATGCCTTGATGGTCGATGATGTAACCTAGGAATTGGATGGTGTCACAGTGAAACTCACTTCTCCAGTTTGAGGTGCAGATGGTGTTCTCTCAATTTCTATAGGACCTTCTTCATTTGGTGGCAATTTTCGGCCAGGTTCCGGGAGTAGATGAGGATACTGTTGATGTATACGATGATGAACCGATGGAGGAACTCCCAGAACACCTCATTTATGAATCATTGGAAGACGGAGGGTGAGTTGGAGAGGCCATACGCAGGTCCAGTTTGGAGAAGATGCGAGCTCCACAAAGCTGTTTCAGGGCGGCTGGGACCAGAGGAAGTGGGTAGAGATATTTGACAGTTTGTCAGTTCAGGATACGGTAATCGATGCATGGCCTCAAACCTCTGTCCTTCTTGCTGACAAAAGAACCTGGATGCTGTTGGTGAAGTAAAAAAGCAGATGAATTCCAGCATGAGAGCCTCGTCAATGTACTCCTCCGTCGTCTTCTGTTCCAGGATGGACAGCAGGTATACTCTACCCTTGGGTAGCGTGGCCCCAGGCAGAAGGTCAATTGTACAGTCCCATGACCGATGAGGTGATAATTCCTTTGCTGCCTGCTTGCTGAAGACATCCTGGAATGCCCTGTAGTCAGGTGGAATCTCAGGAGTTTCCAATGTTTCTGGACTCTCCCCAGTCATGGAACAGTCACTTCACTATTCGTGGATGAGATTGGAGCTGATAACTTCTGAACAGGAGACATGCAGTTTTGGAGACAGTCATCACTCCATTGGAGGATCTCTCCAGTGTTCCACTTGACTTGAGGGGAATGTTGACTCAGCCAAGGGTGTCCCAGGACAGGGACGTGCCCAGACATCTTGAGGGGCAGGGGCTCAAGTGGAAAAAAGGGCACTTCTCATATTTAAATTTTTTTTCTAATCAAAAGGTTAAATATATTAGGGGTGTACGATAAAGAATGAAAAAAGTTTATGGATCAACTATTTGGTTACCTGTATTCAATATATATATATTGTGTTCAACAGAAAAAAGAAACTCATACAGGTTTGGGATAAAATGAGGGTGAGTAAAAGATGACAGAATTTTCATTTTTGGGTGAACTGTCCCTTTAAATTAATCAAAAGTAACATTAAAGACATTTATGTTACAACAGATTTCTATTTCAAATAAATGATCTCCTTTTGAACTCCATTTATCAAAAAGCTTGAAAAAAGTGTCACAGTTCCCACAAAAATATTAAGCAAAAGAGTGGAATAATAGCTTTTGCTTGCATTTTTCTTTTTAAATTTTGCTTTTGTAAAATACTTTTCCCATTATCATTTTCTGGTGTGATATGTTTCTTTACAAATACTGAAAATGTATAAATAATAAACCATGGAAAATATTATCCTTTGTTACTCAGCTTACATTATAGGTCAAATTAATGAAGAGAAAACTGTCAGACATTGTCACCTTTGTAAATTATAGACCAACAGATAATGCATCTACAATGTTTGAAACTCTCTACATTATTATTATTAACAATCATTAAGAAAGTTTAACTCAAGTTAATAATGGACTTCTTCCTAAGATAATGAAACCATTTGGTCTCCCAAGGAAAATCAAGGTTAAGCCACGCTGTCTAAATCAGTGTGAAGTCACGCTCCTGTAATATGTGTGGCAGGCTTACTTTAGTTTTCATACTGATCTATGCTCATGCAAAATTTCTGTGAATATTGCCAGAGAAAAACGCAAGCAGGCCTTTGTGACAATGAAATTGTTGCTATTACTCATCGGACAATGACTCTGTCACTGATTGTATCTGTATTGTGAGGAAGGGTGAATTGTGTTACACTCTAAGTCTGCTGGCATGGGATCCATCACACAGAGCATCTATGGGTCAATTCCTGTCATTGAGGGCACACCACACGAAGCAGAATGAGGTCAGCAAATCACAGAAAGAGTGACCTTTTGCCTCCTTCAAGATCACGGTGTCATTTACCCCACTCAGAATTAATGGCATTACCTTTATCCTGTGGGATAATGCAGGAAAATGGCTCAAAGCCCTGCGTGAGTAAATAAAATGTAGTAAATGGAACCTCTACCACTATGTAATATACAAGTGAATCCTTTATGTGTTTGTGTGTGTATATATATATATAAATATATTCATCCCTCTCTCTTACATCACATAGTAATTAGAACCCTACTGTATATTTATATGATCAATTAAGTGGTTATCTCCTCTTTAAAGGGTTAGTTCACCCAAAAAATGAAAATGATGTCATCATTTACTCACCCTTATGTCATTCCAAATCCATAAGACTTCCATTCATTTTCATAACACAAATGAAAATATTCTTAATACTTGCTCATCCTCCATCCACTGAAAGTCTACATGATGAAATTGTCATGCTTTAAAAAGTACATAAAGACATTGTAAAAGTAATCTGAGTAGTTTTATCCAAGTCTTTCACAGAGACACTGATTAACAGATTTTAATTCATAAATAGAGTTTGCAGGTTTGAGTTGGATTTGAGATTTTACTGTAGACCTGGCAACCCTAGTCTTTAGAAATCCTGTTTTCACAGTTTTTTGTTGCTACGATTTTGTCCACCCACCGAGTTGAGTCCACCTAGGATCCAAAGAGGTTAGCTCTATGTAATGCCTAATGAATTATGCATAACAAATATATAATTTCCCATTTGCTTAGGGTATAAGAAAAACCAGCAGGCTAATCAGAAAGTGTTATGCTAAGCATTGATTCTAAAGAATCTATAGCATCGACGATCTTTTAAGTGCTAGAGTGTAATGCAAAATGACTGTTGGGTAAATTTCTGTCTCCAATTTCTGTGAAGTGATGTATTGATGTTCCCATATTCCTTATGCCATTTGCAGTACCCTTCAAACTGAGCATGTTTGCGTAAGATGGCAGAATATCCTGTGATGTTCACTTCAAAGGGCACTTACAGTTGAATGGAACACACCTCATGACTTGGCTATAAAGTGCATTAAATACTGCACAAGGGAATGACCGAAAATATGTATGGGATCAGTTGTTAAGGTATGGAAATAAAGAACCGTTAAAGAAACCGCTTTCATAATTGTTCAAGGTTGGTGTCTCTAAATTGCCTTACACAGAATGTATGTGCATGTGATGATGGATGGATGGATGGATGAATAGACAGACAGACAGACAGACAGACAGATAGACAGATAGACAGATAGATAGATAGATAGATAGATAGATAGATAGATAGATAGATAGATAGATAGATAGATAGATAGATAGATAGATTGGTGAAATTAAGGTATTCATGAATTTCAATATAATGTGTCCATTCTTTGCTGGAAAATAAAAGGCAAAACTAGACTCTCTGATGTCTTTTCCACAGGGCCAGCAAGGAGACAGGCTGTTGTTGAATGAAAACAAAGAATGCTTCCAAGATTTTCAAAAATGAACAAATGAATTGATAGTGTCCACAGCATGCTAGAATTATTTAAATAAAGTAAGAGGTGTGTGTATGAGACTAGATCTAAAATTAAACAAACATTGCTCTCAAGTAAATAACACAGCCAATCAAACAGCATTTTTGTGCGTGGTACTAATATCGTGTCCATTGTCTGTCACCAGGAATTTAGTTATTTTTTTTGTTTTGTTTTTCGTGACCAGTGATAGGATTCCCAAGTGGGTGAGTGGGGGACGGGCTCATGGTTTTAATTAATTAATTTATTTATTGTGTAATTTTCCATTCAAGCACAGTAAGATGCAAAAGAGAACTTAGTTCGGTAACGGAGCACAGTCTGAGACGCAACTAACTCAATAATTTTAGCAACTGTAGCTCAAATCACCCCACTGGCTTCCCGTCTCACCCAGGATTGAGGATAAGGTTTCTGTTGTCACCTACCGGTGCATTCATGGTGATTATTTATTCATTTATTATTATTTGTTCATTTTTCTTTAAAGATTAACATATTCTTGTGTCTTTGTCCTTTGTTTGTTTGTTCTCAAATAAAGGTTTGAAATGTTGTGATTCACCTCTGAACTTTTTAAAATCCCAAATTGGGAAAAATACTGAAGGAACAAAGGCTGTCCTTGCACTCTATCCAGCAGTGTTTCCCAACCCTGTCTCTGGAGGCACCCCGATACTTTACATTCCAACTCTTTCTAATCAAACACACCTGAATAAACCCATCAGCTCATTAGTAGAAACTCCGAGACCTGAAATGAACGGGTCAGATAAGGGAGAAATCCAAAATATATACTGTTGGGGTGCCTTCAGGGTTGGGAAACACAGCTATATAGAATGTTCTTGAGCATGATCCTATCCTATTTCAAATGTTCTTATGCAAGTTCAAATGTTCTTATGCAAGTTCTCCTATACATTAACCTATTCATAAACATGCTCTCCCCAAGTAAAATGTTTTGGAGCATGTTCTCTCTTATGCAAAATGATCCTGAGCATGTTCTCTCTTATGCAGGATGCTCTTATGCATGTTCTTTCCTATACAGAAGGCTCTTGAACATGTTCTCTCCTATGCAAAATGTTCTTGAGCATGTTCTCTCTTATGCAGGATTCTCTTATGCATGTTCTTTCCTGTACAGAAGGCTCTTGAACATGTTCTCTCCTATGCAAAATGTTCTTGAGCATGTTCATACATGTAACATATAGTTCTCTTGATAGAGTCTTCATCTTAAGTGAATGTATTTGTATTGATTTGTATTAATGTATTTTAAAGGTCAAAGCCAAGATCCATTTTTTTTTTTTTTAAAGAAAGAAAGAAAAAAAAAGTGTTCAAATAATTGAGTACACCTTTAACAGTCATGTCAACAACAACCGAAGAGATTACTGATCTCATTAAATAGACACAACAAACAAGCCTATTCAGACAAAATCGTGCCATTTCAATCGCTTTGTTCTGCAAACAGTTAAAAAGGAGGAGCGATCATGTCAGTTTGTTTGGAGAACCGTTATTCTCAATTTGATACACAGAATCCTCGTGAGAGCAGCAGAGCATGATCGCGCTGCCAATGTGGATGCTTCATGACGCGCGCGCGTCAATTACAGCTGTCCGTTAACCGCCGCGCGCATCAGGACCACAAGGAATGACGCGAAACACATTCTGTTTATCCTGGTTAACATTAGTGAAGACACTAAAGAACACACTCCTCTGCGAACAAGACTGTTAACATGTACTGTCACTGACAACTACCTCAACTTTATTTGGATTGAGTCACGTCCTGTCCATTGAAACGGTGTCACGCGTCTGAAAATGAACTCATCGTGACTGGAAGACGCTTATCATGTAAGTACGCTCCGCAACATGTATTTGTTTCTATTTAAAAATGACCAACATGAGCTATATTATAGGTGGTTAAAAGTATTATGAAAAAGCGAATGTAGGGCAGCTCTCTTGTGATACAGACGTTTGCAAGTTACCATTTTCATGTCCTTGAATGTTTATTTTTTTACTCTTTGTAATATATGTAACATGGTGTTTATCTATCATTACCAATTGTGCGCATTCTTCCACAAAAATCACCCACCTGAGATACTGCACATCGTTACAGCTATATTAAACGACGGGCATCTGGATTGTTTATATATGGATATGTTATAGATGTCATAGAGTTCTCTGACCATTCCTCTAAACCAAATGACTATCAAGGTAGGTAGTTATGTTAAACAAAACTTACACTCAAGAATATAACCACTTAATTATGGAAACAGGGACCATAGGTAAAATTGTAAGAATCAACCATTATTTATCGACCAGCACTTGTCTCCTGTGTAAAGCAGCTCTGGGAGTTCCTTCAGTTAATCTATAGGTTATGTCCTCCAAAGGTGATATAACTGAATCCATATTTAAAGCAGTGTGTAGAAGCAATCGGATATGGATGACCACATGCAGTGGGAACACCAAAAAGAAAATCCTATGAGTGATAATGAAGCAGGACGAAGATTAAATCTATTTCCTCAAGGTCACCAAGATCAAAAAAGCTTTATAGATCATTTGACAGGACCAGAGCTGGTTATATGAGTTGTCCTAATCTTATTGAAAAAATGGCATATTTGTTTGTTGGTTGTCGAGAGCTATCATTAACCGACGAAGAGGTGCCATGTTGAAAGCCACCATTAATGTTCAAGCAGTCCCAAACTACATTAGCAAATGAAAATTCATGCAGTTGACACAGTATCCTCACATTCTTTCTGGAAAACTATGTGTACTCCCACTCCATCAATGTAAGAAATGGATACTTACCCCCTAAAGTCGTTGTGCGAGTACAGCTGCCTGATGCAGCTGAGGTTAATTATGAAATGGGTCATTGTGTGTGAAATATTAAAGGTCTGTGTTTTGAAAATATGACAGGTTCATAACTTATGATGGTTGCCCCCTTCTATGTTCTCTCCCTTTGTTGAGCAGCGTGAATGCTGATGTCCTCTGGAGATCTGAAGTGCCCTGATCTGCTCAGCGGAGGATCACAACACAGGAGGAGACCCAGGCACTGTGAGACTTTAGCATTCCCTCATTGCACCTGCTGTCAGGAAAAGAGCATCTGCAGATATTAATTTCTTCTTGTAAAAGAGGCTCTGGCAGACCTTCAGAAAGTGCCTCTTCAGTTTCACTTTTGCATTATATGGGACATCTTGCGTTTTCATGGAACACCCTTCAAGTGAAATCTGACCTCCGGTCTGTGGGAAACCTTTCAGTTGGTTAACTTCGAGAAAATGAGCTCAGCAAATGCTTGGATAGACTCTTAATGGTTTTCAACTTCGGGATTTGTAGAAATATGGTAGCTATGAGACTTAGTGAGTGAACTCAATGACATAATTAGCAGGTCCACTCAAGACTTTAAATCTTCCCACTTGATCCTGGAGGGCCCAAACCTTATCAACGTCATAATCATGGTGATGTCACAGGGCACCTATACGTTTTTGGCGTGCTTTGCCGGCTTCTGGCTGATCTGGGCTCTCATTGTCATGCTTTGCTGCTTTTGCAGCTTTGCCCAGCGCAAGCTGAAGCACCGGCGTGAAGAGAGGCTGAGGGAACAGTGCCTGCGAGCACTGGAGATGGAGCCTCTGGAGTGCACTGGTGGGGGATATCCTCCCAGGGAGCCCCCTCAGTTCTTCCCACCGATGCAAATGATGTCTCCACAGCTGCCTGTAACACACACTCTCCCTCAAGCAAACTGGACTGTCCCTGAAGGTAGGATGTTTAAACAAGCTCGATTATCCAGTGCATTTTTGTCTGCAATTAGAGATGTGGGGACTATTATAATTAAGACGTTTGTACATTTGTCCAACCACATTTTCAGAAGATATGGTTCAGAAAATGTTCAATGAACCATGCCCTAAAGATTCCATGAAATCAATATCTGAGATTGATGGCTTTTCGACCTATTAAGTCTATTAACAAAATAAACTTGTAGCAGAATATTGGTATATAAAACTCAAATAAAGGACTAGACCTTTGGTATGACAACTTCCCGGTTAGTTGTAAATACCGTTTCACTGGGACTTGTCCTTGGCCAATTTTTATATATAGTTCTTACACCCTTTCCTTCTAATGCATAACGTCTCTTAAATATGAATCTGTGAAAATAAATTTGTAATCACATTGATTTGCACAAATTTGACTCGGCACAGTCCTTCAGCCTGTTATTAATGCTCTATGTCTCTTCCTAATCAGACATACAGTAACCTGATTAAAATTACTACAGACTTCCACTTTAATGATAATGCTATATAAGCTAGATCTTGAAGCATTCACATAATGCCCTTCAACGTAATCACCCTTCAAACCTAAAGGCTTTTTTAAACTCATCAAAACAAACATGTTGTGTTTCAAGCAACAACAATCATCCATCTTGAGCTGTACCACTCGGAACACCTCACACACTGAGGGCAGTCCAAGCTGCATTCTTTCATGTATGACATGGTAATAGTGAGCCTTGTGTGGGTGTTGTGTAGGCAGATGAGTACAGCATTGAACTAGCAGCATTTAGAGCCGGGCTAATCATGTGTTTTGGCAGACAGGCAGACTGCCAGAGTTGGTGGATCCCTGGCCATGGGTGAAGAATGTGCCTTTAAACCTGTGCCAAACACACAGGATGGATGACCACTATTAAAACAAGGTCTGAGTAATAAGTCAGCTCACAAAAGAGTAAGAGTCAGAAAGAATTGTACTCTTTAAAGAGACTTTGTATCACTTTACAACAACAGGCTCATTATGTCCCCTGTGACGCTTTGGGCAGCATATGAGAAAATGCTCTTTGATATAATCTAAAGGTCTAAATAATCTGCAGTAAATTTTAATATACTATTTTAATATTAGGTTTAATATTATACTCTCAAATCCCCATCTATCATAAGTAAATGTTCCCCAAAGAATGTATTTAATGAGATGTATATGAATAAATACCAAATCACCATCGGGACTGTCTGTGGAAAGAACTGTATGCTGTAACAATGTCCTTGAGAATTAAACAAAAATGCAGTTTTAGTTGATGGTGTAAGCAAGTCTGAACATTGTATGGCTTCTGGATCTGACCTATCATATGAATTGTTTGCACTCTTTGTGCTATGGACATGAATGTTATTTCAAATTGCGTGGCTCAGACTTTTCGCCCGGCCTGGCCATATCTACCCCTGACCCTACAAGCTGTTTGAAGAATGTATGGATGGCCATATCAAGGAATCAAAATATGATTAAGACTAAAAAGGCTAGAATGCACTACACGACTTTTAAAATCTGAACATATTCTAGAACACTAGGCATCAAACCCTTGCTGACTTAGCTTATAGGCTCTTCTTAATTATCATGTGCATCATAGGATTGCAGCAAATGGATTGCAGCAAGGATTGCAGCAAATGGCTACAAAAATAAATAAATACAACATGGCATCATACACTAAAGAACTGAGGATCACACACTACCAGACTTTCAAGTCGTTCTGAACATAACTCGCATAGAAATGGAAGCTTTAGCGCAAGTTCTACTAGGAAGACTTAATGCTACGTCACGCATTACAATTAGATCTAGCCAATCGTCACTCGACACGAGAAGTATATAAGCTCTTTACTCACCCTTCCTTGTGTTTGCAGAAACTGACATTGACGTTCCCCTCCATCCTCCCCATCACTACCAGGTTGGCCCTGTCCATGCAGGGGGGTAGGCTCCGCCTTACAGATTCAAGCTACGGATGGAGCCTACGCCAAAGAATTACGTTTTTTATGTCTTGGTTTTGTAAAATAAATTATTTCGAATCTTATCACCTCCCGAGTCTTTCTGGTAGAAATATGCCTTGTTGCTAGGAGACACATGACAAATGAAAACAATGTGTTCTAAAATCGGCTCAAAATATCAAACTTTTCTGTCAACTCTGATTGACCAAAATCTGCAGACTGACTTTGACTTATGGCAGCTAGCATCCATGCGTCCACATTCTAAGTCTGGACAAAAATGTATTCCACCTTTTAGGTTATTTTGACAACCCAGGACACCCTTTAGCAATACCCTAGAAGAAACCACCAAAAATTACCTACTAACAGCATGGCAATGTGCTATCTTCCCAAAACACCCTATCGCAACCACCCAGAATGGTTTAGCCACCTGCTAAAAAACACTCAGAACCTTATTGTGCATTGTGGCATTTGCATGGGCAAGCACCATTCACATTATCTTCAGAAAATGTCAAAATTAAATTTTCTCAGCAAGTTGGGTTTGCAGTGAGAGTTTAAGAAGCAAGTTAAGTGCTTCCACATGGCACTGCTAGCCTCTAGGACTCAAAGGATTTTTTTGTGGTTGGCTTTCATCTTCCATTCTGGCAAAAGCACAGCTGAGGGGGGGCTAGCACTGCCTAGTCACAGCCAAACATGTTCTTATCTCGGACCTCAATATGCTGGTTTATCACTTCCCTCCACAGGAGAAAATCTATTCTAGCTTTCATCTAGGAGTGAGAAGTGACCTTGGAGGAAATGATAAAAGCTTTATTTCTTCTACCCTCCCCTGATAAAATATACAGGGTCCTCATTTATGTTGTCTAACGTCCTCTGATAAATTCATGCAGTTTTTTTTTTTTTTATCTGATATGTTGTGTGATTGCATATGTTTAATGATGTCTGGTCTGACTAGGAAAAAGTAAGGGCTACAATATCTTGGGGCCACGAGGCAAGAGTTTTTATAATGTTAATGAGAAGGATTTTGCCACTAAAACTTTGCATGATTGGTTCAGCTTTCAGTATTTGTTGTACTTCCTGTTCTTTGGTGAATTGTTTGTTTTTTCTCAGCAGACACAGATGTCTTTGGAAAACCTCCTTGCTACGAAGAGGCCGTATTGATGGAGGACCCACCGCCCCCTTACAGTGAGGTGCTGGCGGACCCCAGAGGAGGAACTTACACCAAACCTGCATCCAGGTCCTCTAGGGAGCATCAGGAGTCTGAGACCAGCAAGATGGCCCCTGTGACCGTGTTTCCCGAACGTGACTACTCCTCCCTAATACGCCTACCTTCGGCCAGACGCTGGGACTCACTGGGGCACCTCCTGTCCACCATGGACCTTAACCACAACAACCCTCAGGCCTCTGCCATCACCACCATGCCTCGTGAGGGCCGGACTCACACAGACATGGGCTTGCGAGGACTCCGCAGTCTGGATCAACACTATGGTTTGCCCACAGCCTTTCCCCTTTTGGGTCGAAGTACAGCAGTATGAATCCACAAAAATAGACCTACAGACCACTTTCTGAGATGAACACTCACAATGCTGAGTCATACGTGATCTGGAGAGTCTGCCAGAGGCATTTCGAATGCTGTATTTTGGGGGGGGCAGAATCGGTTCAGGATGATTCAGCTTTGTTCAGGGGTTCATTTGCAGATCCATCATACTCGCTTTTCTCTCTCGTCCTCCTCCTTGCTCTCCGTGGCATCTCTGCCTGATGCAGAGCAGCAGCTATTATGTGGATGCTGTTGCCATGGCTCCCGGGAGCTGTCTGCAGCCCACCAACACCTCGCCCCTCACATCCTCTCTTCTTCCTTTCTCATCTGCGGCTCACTGATATAATACACATGACATTTCAAACCCTGTCTTTGTGAAACAGGGTGCGACATGGTGAAATGACAGTGGTTGGTTCGTACTGTAGCTACACAATGCTGCTCAGCTGCGCAAAAATGTTGTTTCATAAACTGGGAGACAATACCTGGCATCTCTTTCTGGATTTTTTGCCAGTTCTTTTTCGGGAAGGAGTCTGAACTTTGAGGGTGGAAAATATTCAAAGTAATCACAAATCCTGAAAAGGAAGTTGGCTGAAGAATTGTGATTTTTGAAACGTCTGTAGTGTCCATTGGAAGTTGTCTCTCCCAGCTTAATGCATTAGACCATGCGGGTACATTGAGGAACTGCCTTTTATTTCATGTCAATAGCACTATTCTATTTTTTAAAGATTCTGAATCTCTATGAAAAATGATGTATTTATATGAAATACATCATCCTGAAGTGCTCATCAGATTGATGATAGGACCTTGTTTGTAATGACCTGTGAATTGGATTTGTCAACATTTTCATGCATCACCATGTTGCCCACGTTACTCCCTGCTGTTGGAGCCATGTGGGATTTTTGGCATTTATTTAACAAAACTCATTTATATACTGGTGCTTCTTCAAGTGAGACCAACTGAATTCCTTTTGCTATGCTGTTTTTTATCATCCATGTAGTGATTGCTACATGCTCGATTTAGTTTTTTCCCTTTTATTGCCATCATTTCTATTTTGTGTCTCCATGCCCTTAAACGATTCTACCTCAATCCATCCAATGGCTGTCTTTGTCAGCTTCCCGGCATATAACGCCACTTTCATGCATGCGCTGGATGCTTTCAAATGGTATTTGATTAAAATAAGCTCCATTTTGGAAATGTGAAAAAGCAGTTAGCGGTGTATGTGGGCACACATTCAGCACAATACTTTTACTACATCATAGTGATGTCTTTGGTTCATTATTTTTAATTGCGTAGCCATTACTAGACCGCCCAAAAATAACAAAAGCATAAAGGAATCATACTTCCCACAACCCAAGTATATGTTCCCTGCTTCATTATAACCTGTGCTGACTAAATTACATAATGCAATTATATGAATATATTATTTTTCAAATTTCATCCCTACAAAGTTGAAATGGTGTGTCCATGTCGAATGCTGGAAATTGAAACAAGTGCTTCTTATCACATAAATGACAGAATAAAGGTTGGAAACATTAATTCTGAAAAAGTTGATAAGGAAAGATTGCCTTGAGTACCATTTCAAGGCCAAAGCACAACATACTCTCTATTTGAAATAAAAATAATGCCCTGTAATGTCCTGTAAAAAAAAAACTAATCTAAGTACTAAGAACTAATCTTAAATGGCCAAATATCGATCAATTCATGTGCAATATTAATTTTTTTTTGCACAGACCAAAATATAGAATTGTTGAGACAATCAATTAAATTTACTGCACCTGTCATTTCAAAAACACAGCCCCAAAATACTTACACTGTAAAATTAATCTATAGGGAAGGATTGCTTGTTTTGGGAGAGTATAGTTGTTTAAAAGGATTGTATCTGCTTTTACTCTCCGTTTTTATATTTTCAGTTATATCACAACAGAAGCTAAAGACAGAGATGTAAACTGTCTTTTCTCCTGCCAGCAATGTGTTGCTAAGCGACCATAGAAGAGCTGTGTGAATCTGTTTGCACAGATGAAGTGAGCAGTACCGTCACTGCTCTGGTACACAGCCTTCTCACATCCAATATGACAAGTGGACTGTGGTTTGCAAATTAGCATATACAAGACATATTATGTACCAAATGTACCCCGTTTGTGATCTATCAATCAAAAGGGGTTTTGTGCAGAAATTTCTTTTGATCTGGTAAGATTCTCAATGTAGACAAAATTGTATTCCCATTTGACACCAAATTTACACTCCAAATTCTCCAAAGCACATTTTGTTTCTCTGTGAACGGCAAACTGTGAAAGTGTTTCATGCAGTGTTCATGTAGCATGCAAAGTGTGTGCTTGTGTGTGTACCAATTCATCGCTGCTATATATTTTCATGCTCATATGAGGATTTTTTTGTTTTCTAAAAATATACACAATTTACACACAAACAGGGCCAGCGAATGCCTGATATCTGATCAATAAAACTGAGGTACAAAGTCATAGGTGGGGTGTTTCAGCATTTGTGTGTGTCCGTTTTGTCGCAGGTAGAAAAACGTAAAAGTAAACACGTTTTCTGAAGGATTTTAAAGTCTTTTATTAACATACATAAGCACATAGCATGTCACAAAAGATCTTGTGCTTGTTTCAAAAACAGCATGTGAGAAGCGGACGGAAAAGGAAGAGATAGAAAAAAATATAATTAAAAAAGAACTTTCAGGAGTCGCTAAGCCTTGCTTCAGGGGCAAAGAAGAAATTACTGTAGTAGAACAGTAGCAGTAATAGTAATAGTAGTGGTAGTAGTAGTAGTCTCCTAGTAGTTTGAGGGAGAAAGAGAATAATAATCACTACTAAGGAGGTAGGAGGGTGAACGGGAATACATGGAAGTCATTTCAAAAGGGGCTAAGTTACTGTTAAAGATGCGGGTTACTTCCTATTAGGTTTCATACTGAGCAACCTTTTTTCTCTCTCACCAAAGAAACAAAAAAAAAACCCAATCCAAACGTACGCCAACCCCTGTTTTTCATTGGAGGTGAATCAATACATGTTAGTGATTGTAGTACATTTTACATGCACACAAAATTTGAGCTATTTACAGAACAATACTAATTGGTTTAGTCTTATTGCTTGCTTTTCCACTCAAAAAAGCCATTGTAAAACCAAGATGTTATGAAGGCGTTTTACAATATGACTAGAAGTATGAGGAAGACGGTGGTCAGTCAAGGCTGGGACAGTGGGTGGTGATAACTTAGCAGTTGCAGAACAACAAAGATTACAGGTTGAGTCAGTGTTGATTAAGTGAGATAATCTCTCACCATTCTGCCCTCGAGCAAGGCGATGTGCCCCTGCATTTCTCTTTGTCTGAAAGTCCGTTACAAATCCAAATTTCATTTAAAGATTTGTAACAATTTTAGGTCTTTACGAGTTGCTGGACGTGCTAAGGTCACATTACTCTGAAGAAAGTCTTGGGTTAAGCATTTTTTAAACTAGCAACAACTTAAAAAAAAGATTATAAGGGTCATAATAATATTATATTTCAATAATAGGGGTTACTGACGTGGCTTGAAATCTGCGATTAGAAAGAATTTCCTTCCCTTGGGAGTATATAACTCATTTAAAAGGTTCAAAATCACATCCACAAAAAAAATTAAGGTCGAAACCATACTCTACGCAAGTACATGAACGCAAATGCTTTGATTTCACTCATCGCAGTTTGTTAGAATGTGTTAAAAGAATGCAGTTCATAACAAAACGCTAAGCACTGCATTCTCAGCACTGCCACATGGGGTGCTATAGCTAGCATTAACCAACTTTTGTAAGAAAAAAACAACAACCACTGACTACTGTCATAGTGGAGTGACCGTTTGAATCTTGGTAGCAAGTTAGATAACTGCCTACATGTTTATAGTGAGATACTTGAATAACAGCGATTTGAAGGTAATTATTTTGTCTTCTTAAAGGGTTACTTCACCCAAAAATGAAAATTCTGTCGTCATTTATACACCCTCATATCATTCCAAAAAATGGCATGACTCACTTTATTCTGCGAAAAACAGAATGACAAAATTTTCATTTTTTAATACTGGTCTTTGAACACCACAGTAAGGTTGCATGCTAATATGTACAGCGGGACTACACGCTTGTATTTGCGTCACCATTTGCATACTTACGTAGAGTATGTTTCAGGCCTGAGCCTTTCCAATAATAATACACACACTCACTAACGAATATATAACTAAAACAATTCCCAGTGGAGTCCACTACAACTGTTATTGCCTAAATTTCTCAACGAGTCAAAGCTCTATTGGAGTTTTTACAACAAAAATGTCAGTTTCATCCATTGTTTATATACACCGTCTCATATGTAGTCAAAATATACATATGCCACCTGGCGCTAAAGTCCTAAAAGGCCGTTACACCGACACGTCATACTCAAAATAATTGGCACAACACAAAATTGTTTCGTAATCACATATAAACCCCGTTTATTTTCTGTTTGCTAAATACGAATGACTCAACTGGAGCTAAAATCAAGTTCTGACATGCCTTTGCTTCTATGAAGGTGAGGGTTCGACCGTCCCTGACCGATTGAGTCATCAATGCAAACGCCCCTGTGGGCATAACACTCAAACACATCTGATTCAACTAAGCAACTAAGATTGTAGGGAACTTGAACCACTGAGCAGATCTAAGCTCAGTGTTGATAAAGGAGAAATAGAACGGTCTAATCTGCTACTACACACACCTGTTAGGCACAGGGATCGATACAACACAGGTGAGGGCGCTAGAGACACACTGTGCTATACTCTGCATAGAAAAAAAAAAAAGATCAAAATAAATAATAAACGCACTCACGCTACACATACACGAACCAAGAGCGCTCATACCCACTGGCATCTTTAACAATAACCCGAGTCCTTTTCTTCTGTGGCTAACATTGTTTTTGTTGTTGTTTTTCTTATCTAAAACATTTTAATGCAAGACTTCTGTAACTGTTGCAAAATAAGTTTTCATAGAGGTGTCGCCTGTTTTTCCCTCAGTTGCTCCTATTCATCATCATCTTCCATCACAGGGTCTGTATCCCAGCACGTAATGTCGATTTCTGTGGCAGACAATAAGACAAACATGTTATATTAGGATCTTTTCTGAGGCAAGGGAGTGATGTAACGAAAGAAAGAAAGGAATTATTTGCTTTGTTCTTCTTGTTTATGTTTTTTTTATGTTTAAGATTGAGGACATATACTTGTAAGCTTAAGCAGACAAATTTTTTTGTCATATTCACCCTTCTGCTATTTCAAAAAAACTTATGATTTTTTTTCTTTTGTGGTGAATCTTTGAAGAATATCCCGGCTACTCTTTTCTGAGGCTGTCGAGCAGTGTCATTTTAGTATCACTGAGATACTATTATGGTTTTCAGTAATAGTTTGAATTAGTTTTTATTTTCTGTATTCCATTTTCATTTGAATTTGTTCAAGTTCTAGTCATTTTGTTGTTTTTCATTTTCCTTCAGTTTTACGCGAGGTACTAAATCTAAAACTAAAACTGAAATAAAAATGGATAAAAACTATATAGACAAAAACAAATAAAAATGACACACAAATAAATTACTTAAACTAAAATGAAAACAAAAAATCTAAAAATAATACAAAATATTGATACAAAACATACAAACAGTAGTATCTCTATCAAATAACACTAACATTTGCCCTATAAAATTGTCTAAAATGATAATTTACCACCCTATTAATAATTTTGATTGTCAATAGAATGTAAATGGTAAACTAAAGATTATTAGCTACTCAAAAAATGAAAGAACACTTGTCTCACCCAAATTTAATGTTTTTGTATGATATACATCAAAACAGGAACAAGAATTGTGTTTGAATCAGATTTATTTTTGTGTTTTCTGTTTTCATCAAAAAAATAATAATAATTTTAGTAATTTTGTTGTTTTTTTGTCATTTTGGTTTATTGATTTTATTATTGTTTTTTATATGTCTATATAGCTTTTATTCATTTTTATTTAAGTGTTGGTTATTTTAGTACATCAAGAATTGCGTTCATTAAATCATTTCATGTGCTTCAACCTGCTGTGATCTCACCTGGTGGTTTGTTATAAAAAACTGGTGTTGGGTTGACTTTTGCAGTGCAGTCATCTGACTGGGCAAAATCCTCCTCCTGTGATTGGCTGAAGTAGCCTTCACTCGCCTGCATAAACACAAATATATATGTAAACATATAAAGCTTCATGCATCTTGAATATAGCTAGTGTTTTGTCATGTGTCATAAAAATAGAGAGCATATGCTGCCATCTAGTGGCAAAATAAATAAAGTAAATAAAGCATGCAGGACAATGAGAGGCAAGGCAACATTGCATTGTTCATTTTAAAAGTAAGTTCTGCTGACCTGGGTCCCTTCTTTAAGAAGCGTATCTCCATTGGTCAACAATAGTTGTCCGTCATCCAGATCCTGGCTGTCAGAGCCGGAAGCATGCTGCAGGGCCTGCTGGTAACTCAGGGTCATCTGGTGGGGTCCAGCCACATCCACCAGGCTAGAGGGGTTGTCTTCTGTGCCGGTGCAGTAGGGGGTGTCAGGCACCTCATCGAAGCTCAGGAGCGGCTGCGGGAGAGCAGGGGAGGAGCTGGCAAGATGAGGCTCCGGGGTGTCCTCCATCAGGTCCATAATGTGGCTGGGGGCTTGGGAGGGGGCCGTAGCTGGTGCTGGGCCACTGTCCCACAAGTCTAGCAGGCTGTCATCTGTGCTGGATAATGGAGCGGTGCTGCTGGGCTGGGGGGAAACACTTGGAGAGGTCTTGGCAAAGCCGGAATCCTGCACTGGAGTCTGCTTGGGAGTGTCAAAGGCTGGAGGAAGGAAAAAGGAAATTTAAGAAATAGAATATTATATTATTTCTGTGTGTAATAATTATATTACGTTCATTACATTCATGTTTTTGGTTAAATGTATAAATGTATTGTGCAAGAACTGCAATTAATGATTTTGGAGGAGCAATAACAGCCTCCAATCTGTGCAATTTATTAAGCTGATGAGATTCAACATTTTACATCCCAAAAAGTCCTTGTAAACTTATGAACTCATTTTCTGGAGGACATGGTGAAGAATCAGTTTTTGGATCTAAACGGTTTAGTATTTAAAATAACTGCTGCTTTAGATACAATAAATATTGAAGGTCCTTTTTTTCTCAAAAAGTGTTCAGCTGGAACGATGATTGATGGATCTGTGCTGTATTGAATCATCACATACCCATATGTAAAATACCCCAAAAGTACCTGTTTTCAATTTTGGGACAAAAATAGGTTGGTAGCAAGAATGTGTCATGGATAAATTGAACTAACGATGATCCTAAAAATATTACATGCAGTAGTATAATAATATCATGACTTAAAATGATATATTACATAGAGAGAGTAACAACAACAACAACAACATTATTATTATTATTAGGGGCCAAGCACCAAAGGTGCTTAGGCACCTACTGTAATCGTTAAGAGTTTTTCTTATTCTTCCCCGCAAGTCTATGGCAGCCCACAGAACCATATTGTAAAAAAGCTGTGAAATTTGGCACATAGATGGAAGGCCTGGATATTAAACAGCAATCTCTCAACTCAATCCCTCTCCCACCACCAACTGTCCAAAGTTGCACTTGTATTTATGCTAATAACTTCATCATCTTCAGAAAAACATGAAAAAAAACATAGAATTCAAATTGATTAGTCAAATTTTCTCAAATGCACAAATTTGACGAAGATCACGCCAAAACAGAAGTGAGGCTATATATCTGTAATGCTTTAGCATATTCAGACCAAACTTGGTTTGTGTTATGACAGCCAAGAACTGAGAGTAAATGCACAATTTCGGCACAGTGCCACCTAATGGTCAGGAGATTTGAATTTTTTTTATTTTTGCTTATACCTTCTGAACAGTTTGGCCAAAAATCCCAAGGCTTGTGTTTTTAGATTCGGAGTAGTTTATTTCTATTATTGCGTTATATTTTTTTTGCTCTTTTTGAGATTTTTATTGAGAGATAACTGTTAATGACAATATAAGCAAGGGGAATAAGATCAGGAAATGCCAAGTCAGATTCAAACTCATGTTGCCCAGATAAGCATAATGTGCCAACCACTAGGCCACAGCTCCGACACATTTGAATCATGATCAAGATAATATGACACTAAATGAATATCATAAAGAAAAGAGTCAAAAGACTTCCCTTGTTTTTGAGGCCTTACCTAACTCCTTTCGAAAGAAGTCCTCTTTGTCCTCCTGAATGGCGATTTTGGGGATGGGAGTGCATCCAGTGGTCATGCTGCGCTCGAGGATTCCTTCAGCAGAGTCATCTGAGACATCAAGGAGAAGGTAAACGTTTAATGTGGGCTCAAGTAAATCTCAAGTATCTCATACCAGCCAAAATATCAATCACAACACAGATGACAAAGTTTACAAATAGTCTGAAAGGATTGCTAACAATGCCAAACAATAGCAAGCAATGTTTTGTCTGTCAAAAAGTGCATCGTCCCCATCGCCCTCGTCAATGATCGTGACATCAAAACACAGACATGCCAACGTGACCGTGAAGACAAAACACAGTGTGCAGCGCAGAAAATTAGTTCACAAATTTACAAATGCACATCGTTTTTGAACATGCACACACTCTTAAAAATGTCAGCACAAGAAAGATGTTTTATTAATAAAAAATGTTTTATACACTCAATACAGCACTAAAGCATGTATAATCATATGCATCCACCAATATGTCATGGCATTATGAAATGATACATACAGTAACACTAAAGGTTGACCTCTCGATCTCATGACAAGCTAAAGCAAGCTGACAAGTTAAAAAAAATATTCAATTAATTGACTTTAAAGTGGCAGGTGGTCAATATAAGACAATATGTAATCATACAGCCAAGATCTAAGATCTATTAATCTTGTTTATGCCATTTTTAGAGGATATCTAAATAATGACACACCAACCCACTGGAAAGAACAACCACAATTAAGATCTCTTTAACATCTCAATTGTTTCTCCTGGACAACAACATTTAACAAAGAGCAAATTAAATTTTTACAATCTCAAAAATATTCTCAGAACTAATCACAAATCATGCTCAGGTTTGCAGAGATTAAGTCTGCAATCAAAAGTCAGAGATTTCGATATTAACGCAAACGGTTATCTAATTAATTCAAAACCAAATCTGAGCTAATTCTTATCGTATGTCAAGCATCATCTCATTTAATTCTATTTTAGGAATTTCAGGAGAAACATCTGAGACAAATTTGCTTAAGACAAAACATTCTTAAAACCCAATTAAGTCTCCTGAGCTCTGAAAGAGCAACCTCTGAGCTTTGAAGTTTTCCACAGGAAGTCACGAACTCATAACGCGACAAAAACACTGAGATGCAAATTTTGTAGATAGCCACTTTAAAATGATACAGCTGAGAGAAGACCTCACATGACAAATCAAACACAATCAATGAAACGACAATGACCATCATAAAAGCTGATTTCAGGAAAACAGTTGTACAGGCACAAAATTCGCCCATTTCTGAAATGTAAAACCCACTGTATCACTCTAGATGAACTTTAGATGTTGGGTCTTAGCACAGACCCAATGTTTAGTCCTCATAGCACACACTGATAATTGCAGGCGCCATTTGTCCTTGGGTTGCTGTTTAATTTTACTTTCAAACACACCACAAGGTCAACTCCACAAAGATCACGCACGACACCATAGTCACACAAGGTCTACGGAATGCAAGCCCAAGGACTCGGAGACCACAATCACATGCGGTGCAACGTGGCATACACTCACAGGTCAACAGGATGGAAGGAAGTGCACGCAGGGCCGCCGGTTATCCATCAGAAAGAGCATGGGAGGAGAGGAAGGGGGACATGAGGGGAGTAACATTGGTGAGATTCAACCAGATCGCCCTAACCAAAAGAATCACTTTGTCTCAGTCCTCCAAACATCCACGGCATAGCTTCAAAATAACACGTACTCAATGTTTCCTGTGCAAAATACAAAGTCAACGGACAACAAGTATAGGACACATATACAGACTATGGACCAAGAAAAGATGGCAATATGGTTCAAATAGTTGAAAGAAATGGACTGTGACACTGAGAAGGCCGTAGTCTAGTTAGCTAGTACTGAAGGTTACTTGAGATCATGGGACATACAGAAGGGGAGATAGTTACTTGAGATTAGACATACAGTTCATCCTGTAAGAGTTGAGCACGTCATCACATACACTTGTCGTAAAAAGTGGTTCTGTCTTTATCAGGACGCTCGAAACCCGCTCCAGAGTGGGATGCTTTTCAGTTAATACAGCTGTCCTTCAAATGTATTAATTCACAGAAAAATGAAATTCTGTCATTATTTACTCACCCTCATGTCATTCCAGAATCAAAAGACTTTATTTTTTCCGTGGAACACAAAAGGAGATGAGTCAATGCGATGCAGTATAGGAAAGATACATTTTTTGAAATGTACTCCTTGTATTCATGTTGGTTTCGTATGCTTTTGACAAACTTTTATACCGTTTTGTACAAATAAATATTTTTATTTAAAGTAGGAATGAAGTGATTATTGTGTAAATGCATGTTATAGATCTTTTTTGACCTCGTAATGTTTAATCAATGTCATAACTTGACTTTTCGGTGAAATGACAGACTTCTGTCCCAGCTCGATGTTTATACTTCTTACTCGATACGTCGTTACACTTGAATGTATATCACAATACAGAGGAAAAGATCTGTTACTATATCTGCTAGCTACACCACATGACATTTTTAGAGTCATTAAAGTTGCAGTCTATCAAGTGGTAACATATTTTCCTTACACTTTTAATATTTAAGATTTTTAGTATTTAGGGGTCCTCTCTATGATGATATTTCATGTTTTATGTTTTTTCCCCCCTGAATGTTTCTGCATGTTGGTTGTACTACATGATTTTGTTGGTCACAGTATTAACTTGTCGGACACTTTTTCAAATATTAATAACTAGTGAAGTAATTTAGTTAAAATCCATATATTTTTAATTCCTAGAAGGTAATTAGATTAAAGTTTATGATATATTAATTATTAGATTAAAGATTGTAATAAACAATCTAATCCCATGTTTCTTTTTGTCTTTTAGGGTGCATCACAGGCACTTTGATTTAGGGAAAAGAGCAGCTTGGACATTCCGCCAAATAGCTCCATTTGTGTTCCACAGAAGAAACTAAGTCATACAGGTTTGGAGTGACATGAAGGTGAGCAAATGGTGACAGATACTTAATTTCAGGGTGAACTATCCCTTTAATACTAGCACATACTGACACTGGAAGACCGGGTGTATCCGGTACATTGCAGCCACAGTGAATGCTCTGAGAAGCGCAGTGTTGCTGAGGAAGCCAAAAGAAAAACGATAATTCAGTGAGGAGGGTGGCTAAAGGCTAAGATGGTGACTTCGTGATCCTATGCTGATGCAGTATCCCTCAGCAAGATCTGTCCAGTACCTACCAGGTGGACCTGGCTGCCGCCGTGAATGGGGCGGAGTGCGAGAAGGGGGCGGGCTGCAATCGGATGGACTGTGCTGCTGCCTCAAGAATGGACTGTCCAAGCGGCCTGGTAAACGGAAGACAGGACCATTGTGCGGGACACGCGGACACCCACGCACACACATATAGCGACGTACACAGGTGTGACAGAGGAAGACCAGACCAGATAGACAGGAGGAAAGAAATCCAGGGATAGAGAGGGGAAGAAATTTGTATAAAAGAGAAATGATAAGAGAAATAGAGAAGCACGAGTTCAAAACAGAAGCAATGATGGATGTGCGGCAGTTGGGTAGAGGTTAAATAAGATCCAGGGTCATCAGAAGGATAGATGGAACGGACAGATGATCGAGCAGGAAATCAAACAGATGTGTTGACAACCAAAAGGATAAAGTGATCAGAAGAAAAAAGAAATGGAGAGAAAATAGTGAGGTAGAAGGAGAGAGGTAAGAAAACAGTTGTTAGTGTGATGGTTTCACACCCTCTGAGCATAAAGCAGTAGTTGTTTCAGTGTCTGTATACCCTTCAGCAACAGATGCTAGTGAGGAGTTTGACATTCACTCCAACACTGAAAATTCTATGATCTTAAATAAATAATGAAATGGCACAATCATCCAGTAATAATATTGCATTGTTCAGCAGGACCATACAGTCTGTTGGAAAATGGCACCAATATACAATTTTTTACAATAAAGTAATCTTCGCTTCAGCATCCCTGCTGAAAAAATCCCTACATAAACTATCCTAAGGTGGATTGCTGGTTTAAGATGGTCAAATAGCAGTCCTCGTTTGGAATTTCCAGCCGGTGTGTTTTGTTTCAGCAGGTATTGAAATCATGGATTTACTCAACTTCCAGTTGGTACATTTGAACCTTGTGTGAAAAAACTAGGCTATTTGGACCAAAAAATGATCTTCTCAACTAGTCACTTTAGTAAGAAATAACATCAATCAGCAAGCTGCATGACTTAGCAAAGCACAATTAACAAATTGATTCCAATAGAGTTTGCATGTTGCTAAGCTATGCAATACTTTATTAAGCACAATACATTAGTACACAGAAATGTTAGGTTTTTAATTATTATTATTATTTAGATTGTACTATTTGTTTTAATCAAAATGACCAGCCGGAGGTGGTTAAAGCTGATTTTGTTGGTTTAACTGGTCTTCCAGCCTAGTCAAACTGGTTTAGCTTAGATTCTGGCCACAATGTGGCATCTTAGTTCATCAAATTAACTATGAGCATGTTATTATAACATTTGAATAATCTATCTATCTATACTGTATATCCATCAATCCATTATTCAAACTGGTTTTTCTCTGTAGGTTGCATATTTCAATTTTAAATACATTAAAAAAATTAAAATATACACTTTGTTTGATATTTTGTTATACGATTTAAACCATTCTCACATTTATAACTGTGGCTTACAATAATTGTTGGGAGTATATGAAGTTTAGATCCTCTTTAACCTCTGTTCTCTATATTAATGCATAAAAGTATATCTATCTACATAATTCAACTATGACCCTAACATTATTATATTACAAATTTCAGTACATTCTGAGACAGATGGTCTCTCCTGAGCCGTGTTGTTTTATTCACATTAAATGACAGTAGGAGAGACACGTGAAAAGCAAGAAGCAGGATAAACAAAGGCTTAGGATTTAGCATCTATGCCCTCCTCCTCCTCTTCTCCACCCTTTTACTATGATCTTACCGGTCCTGTGCGTGGTGACTGGTGAGATGTCCACGCTGCTGGCTATGGCCCTCTCTCTCTGCTTGAAGAATTCCCGTGGGTTAATGGGCCTTTGGGCAATGATGGCTGCCGCTTCCTATAAACATATTAACACAGGAAAACGAGGTAAAACATAATATATAGTAGATAGATATAGGCCTAGATAGATATATATATATATATATAATTAGATAAAATAGACAAAATAATATTTATATGAATATTATTATTAATGTCTTATAAGATAGCAAAATATTTTTTTCATTATTTTTCTCTTTGGATGTATTCTTAGCACACTGCACATTTAGATGGAATTTAATAATTTTCCTGGGTAATGAAAGTTGCCACATCCTGTCAACATACTGTATGAACACAGGAAAAGGAGGTGAAACAAATTCAAGTTTATAAAATAAATTTAGATAATTTAAGTGAACACAATTACAAAACACATAATACGATTACATATATAATTATTATTATTATAACAATAGCTAAACAAATAATTGTCCATTAATAACTAATTATAATTAAACAATTTTCTATTAATTTCCTATTTGGATATGTTCGTACAACACTGCATGTTTAGAGTGATATTTTAGATGGAATCATGAATTTAAACCAGTAATACATGATGTGACGAATAAAAATAATTGCAGGTAAGAAGGATTTTTTTTTGGTTCCTTCTCAGACTAAAGATCCTATTGACTGCACACGCACCGAAACACAGAAACTCTTGAAATAGTATGAGGAATCCCACTGACCCACATGTAAACCCCAGCAGAATATCTGTCTTTATAATACAAATCTGTCCCACATTTTAGTTTGTTAGGGTCGGAATCTGTTCTCCTTTTGAAAACACTTATCTGTGAAACGAATCGATGCTGGTGTGGCCCTAAAAGCTCTGTTTCAACCCACCTCAACCTCTGTTTCTCTTTTCTCCAGGGCAGGGTCTTCATAACTGGGCTCTGTCTGTGAAGTGGATGAACGCACCTGTTTATTTCCAGCAGGGGGCAGCAAAAACTTTTTTTTTTTAAAGGGGTCATATGATGCGATTTCAAGTTTTCCTTTCTCTTTGGAGTGTTACAAGCTCTTGGTGCATAACAAAGATCTGTAAAGTTGCAAAGACTAATGTCTCAAATCCAAAGAGATATTCTTTATAAAAGTTAAGAGTCAACCACGCCTACCTAAAACGCCTCGTTCTAACATGCCCCCACGTCTACGTCACTATGTGGAAATATTAGCATAATGCAAATGCAAATGTGCACGCAAAGAAAGGTGGCGTGGTTTCAGGAACAGCAGTAGTGTTGATGCAGCCATGTCAGGGAGACGCTGTGTGTTTCAGTGCGAAAGCAAAAGCACTTGATTCGGCCTTCCGGAAGTAGATGCAATTAGGAATCATTGGTTAAGATTTATTTACAACAGAACAGCACAACCCAGATGTTCGAATTTATGCAACGCATTTTATGGACAACAGTTTTTTGAACCTAGAAGAGTACAAGGCTGGCTGTGCACAAAGGGAATAAAAAGGGGTCAATTCCGACTTTGCTATGACAATCTGGCGCTTCTGAATCAGCGACTGTAAGTATGTTTTGTTATTAGTTTAAATATTTGCTATTGACTGTTCAAATTCTGAGTTTTGCGCAGCGCAGAGTAACGCGTTGTGTGTGTGTGTGTTTGTGTGAGGGGAACAGGGTCACATCACAGGAGAGTGAACTGCCTGTCAGAAATCCTAGCACATCAACTGTCTTAACCGCGGCTTGTGTACTGCATCATCACTGTGCCTGTCACGCGACTCTGTTGCCCTTTCGGGCTTGAACTGATGGTAAAACTAACGACATTATTAACTGTCTTGATATTTACTTTGAAAGCTGAAGCAATTATGGTAAGGGACGTTACATTTCCGACGCGTGCTTGTGGTGTTCGGCCAATCACAATGCACTGGGTCAGCTGGCCAATCAGAGCAGACTGCGCTTGTCAAAGGAGGGGGCTTTGTAGAAAACGAAGCGTTTGAGAGAGGCGGGGCATAGAGGACCTACAATAATGTACAGTATTTGAAAAATAATGTGTTTTTTGAACATTAAAGCATGTCAACATATTCTGTTACACCAAATACACAAAATAATGATCTTTAAAATAGCATCATATGACCCCTTTAATAACAGTTGTTTGTAACTTATTTACTTTCCAGATGATTAGTGCAATAAATCTGATTTTGTGTAAATACTGAAGTCTGTATACTGCCCAAAGCCATTTATCCATTTATTACAGGACAATATTACTTAAGACACATGGGTCTTCTTCTTTTTCTGGTTACCTTCCGGTTACCACCCATAGACCATCATGCATTCTGTAGATGATTCAAGCCCTAAAATATCTCTTAAAACACCAAACCTGGTTTACTGTATGCAAAGCATACGCACTCTTACAATCAAGGTTTGATTCCTGTCTTTGGCCTCTTCCTCCTCCTGCATCTTCTTCCTGTGACCACGTATATAAAAACGGATAGCATTATAATAATATATGGCTGAGGGTCATCAGTGTTGGCCATTGTGGCATCCTTCCTACCTCTGTTCCTCGATCTTCTGCTCCCTCTCACGGTAGCGCTTCTCTCTTTCCTCTTGCTCTTTTCTTTCCAGCTCCATCCTCTCGGTTTCAAAGCGCTTCTGTTCCTCCACAGCCTTCCTTCTCTCTTCCTCCTTTCTCAACTCCTCTTCCCGCTTTAAACAAGGTACGTGTCAGTAAAACATCAGTAAAATGAATTTACAGTCACAATAAGATTACGACAATAACATTTATACTTATTTTTCCTTATTTCATTTATATTTTATGTATTTGGTTTTAAATTTTAGTGGATAAAAACAGATCTAAACATTGTAGAACACAATACTCTTATTTTGTGCAAAAAAAACAAACAAAAAAAACAGTAAATGTATGTAAGCCTCCATTTTTCTACAGCAATCTGCAGAATGTTTCTTCAACTAGAAGAATTCTACCATTTTTATGAACCAGCCATTTTTAACACACCTTTAACTAATCTATTTCGTTTAATACAATTCTGAAGTGAAAATAACATTGTAAACATTTATGGATGCTAAGGCTAACAGCTAGCAATTTATGTAACCTAAATGCACACAGTTAAATAATAATTTCTTACTGTTAATCAACAATAACCACAACATCAATTTGAATTATTAATGTTGTTAATAAATAATATTTAAAGTTTATTAGCAAGTATTCAAATGTGTTATATTAATATTACAAACTACAGTATGGTCCTAAAATTATGCAAAGCAAATATTGCGTGAGTGATATTTATATAGATTTTTTTCACATATGTCTCAAACTGATCTACACTGACACCTTAGGAAACAAGTACACTAATCTATTATAAAATATTATCGGGCAAAATTGTTGTTAGTGGTGAAAATAACAGCCATCATTTTTGTAAAAATCAATATAGATATTTTTCACTCAATAAATATTACCTTTATTTTACTGTTTAGATGATCATAGTTTCCAAATAGAGCAATATTTTTATAATAGATTTTCACTAATTAGGACTGAAATCTGTAGGTATGGTAAAAAGTTTCCAAGACCCCCCAAGAAAGTTTTAATAAAACCCCAGAGACAAAAGTGCCCATAGTTTAATAAAAACTAAATAAAACAAAACAAAACAAAACACAGTTGTGTTCACAATTGTACTAACTGTACACAGTTAGTACAATTTCATTTATCTATGAGAGTATTCTTAGCTGCTAATGATCGAACAGCATCAAACTAATCTGACAGAAGCACTTCCTCATAATGTTAAAACAAAGAGACTAGTCAGCTGACCCATCACATTGTGTGCTAGAACTAGTTTACAGCGGTTCACACTGCCATCCTGAAGAGTCTCAGATCAAGCATCTTTGCAGCAGAAACCCAACGGAATCAAATTTCTACCTTGGCTTGTTCCCAGAACTCTCCTCGATTGATTTTCTTCATCTCGATCTCTGCATTTGTTTTCTCGTAGGTGGTGCCCTGCGGTCAGGAGGAAAGGGGAAGTGTGAGTACTGGCCGTTTTAATTGGACAGCTAACTGAGGACAAAGATGATGATCCAAGGGAGGCACTATGGGGACAGCTAGAAAGCAGACACACACACAGACAATTTCCCTGTCTAGGAAACACTATATCGTTTTTATATCTTTTGTTAACATTAGGTAACTACACTAGAAAAAATTAACAAATAATGAACAATACTGTGTTAATCTTTTGTTAGTCTAATTGTAATCAGCATTTATTAATCGTAGTTTCTGTTAATTTACTAAATTTTTCAAATAAAAATGTTTATCTATTAATATTGGTGAATTCAGCGTGAACTAACATGAATTGTATTTTTATTAGCTAACATTAACAAAGATTATTAAATGCTGTAAAAAAAAATATACTGTTCATTGTTAGCTAATGCATTAACTAATGCTAATGAACAGGACCTTATTGTAAAATATTGTTACAGGTGTATCAAAGATGTACAACCTGGCTTTGAGATTAGATTACACCAACATCACTTTGTGCTTGAATTTGTTTGGCTGAAATGCTACGGTTTGATACACTAATACCAAATTATAGGGGTTACAATGAAGTATACAAATATACTTGTAGAGACGTCATTCAGATCAGTGGTTCCCAACCCTGGTCCTGGAGGCACCCCAACACTGCACATTTTGCATGTTTTCTTTCTCTGACACACCAATTTCAGGTCTTGGAGTCTCTACTAATGAGCTGATGATCTGAATCAGGTGTGTCTGATTAAGGAGACATGCAAAACATGCAGTGTTGGGGTGCCTCAAGGACCAGGGTTGGGAACCACTGATTCAGATAAGTGAGCAAAACATCAGGAAGGATCTTGGTTATTTTAAAAGTGTGTGAATCAACTCAGTGTTTCACATACAGAAACAATCATTGTTTCACTTCCTCTGGATCAACGATGTGGCTCTAAGAGCTCTTTCCTCCAAAAACAGCAACGAGGCTGTGCCCCTATGTCAGACATCACACTATTAGAGAGCCATTCACAGACAACTTGATTTGACCCCTTTCCAGTAGCGTCCATATGCATGTAAACAAGCCCACACATACAGACTGTACCCCCATCCCTTTAGCAGCCCTTCTGTCACCAGTCACGCACAACGTGTTCTGCGTTCTCCTCGTCTTTCATTCGCAGGCGGCTTAGCACTGGACTGGCCACTGGAGCCGTCCCATTAGTCAGCCTCTGTCCGATAGCTGAGGGGTCGATGTCATCCATGGTGCTAGCGTTCATGACGATGTCAACACCCTGGAAAGAGAAAAAGAGCATCAGTAGTACTGCTGCACACGCACACACGTCACCTGGCAACCAGCATCAACCGTGCATTTAAATGATGAGCACTTTAAGTCGCTATGGCATACAGCTTGTCCCTAGTGTGTAAGAAAAAAGAAGAAAGTCACAAAAGCATCAGGTTACACCAAAAGGCCTCAGTGGTGCTAAGCATGGACAAACTCTACTTGACAAGTTTCCTAAAGACATTTTCTGATTCTTCCTTGTCCCATGACATGCGAGTACGAGTGTTTCTGAATTCAAGTTCAGTACCAAAAATCGTGTAGCGTTGGTTAAGTTTGATTCATTTCTGTGAATTGGTTCTAACTGTCTGTTTAAAGGGACCGGTTCAAAATTCGTATTCAGAGATTAATTTGAGTGTTTTTGGAGTTAAGCCTGATTAATTTCTGTAAACGGTTAAAAACAGCAATAATTGTCCAATTATGGCATTTTCTAGTTTTAGTAAAATCATAAACGCAGGTAAATATTTCTGTTTACAGTATGACTACAGAATTGTTATATCAATGCATAAAAATAAACAAAAATGATCAGATATTATTCTATGTTAAATGCTCTTCTATTTAGTGAAAAACAGTGTGGAAATGTTTAAAAATGATTATTTAAAAACAACAACACAAACACTTAAAACAATCTTTTCAGTCATTTATCACTATCTATATATAGTCTAAAAAACACTGAGATATAATTTCTAGCTATAATGCCCGGCCCTAATTTGAGAACTGCTAATTATGAATGTAGATAATAAAGTAAACATCAATAGATGGCACTGTAATACAATCTACACTTTACAATATTTTTGTGAAATCGTGATACACATTTTTCAGGATTCTTTGATGGATAGAAAGTTTATTTGAAATAGAAATCTTTTGTAACATCATCAATGTCTTTACTGTCATTTTTGATCAATTTAATGCACCCTTGCTGAATAAAAGTATTAATTTCTTTAAAAAAATTAAAACCTCACTAACCCCAAACTTTTGAACAGTAGTGTACATTATTAAATCCTCAATCACATTAATGAAAGAATGAGTTCAGAATAACAGTGAATAACATATGAAGGGATAACTATGAATCAGTATAAACAATGAGAAAATCAAAATTCATTCACATGAGAAGTAAATGCAATTTGGTTTTTCAAGCAAGATAAAACGGGTCTTCAATGTGCTTGTAAGCAAGCAAGAGTGTTTGTGTGAGCATCACAGCATACTGAGCTGGACCTCTACCTAAGCTTTTGTAAGAACATCAAACAACCGACTATATCTAGCTCATGTGTGTTCCTCTGACATAGCTACATGAATGCTGCCATCAGTCTTTTCAGTAGCTTAAAAAGAGCAGCCGATGAGTTGACTGGCACTTTAGATCAATTCATTCCTGATAGCATAGTCTCTCTTTCAACCCAAAAGCACAATCTCTGTGGCTGCCTTGGTCATCTCGCTGATGTTTCATCGTGGAGTTTCTCTACCTCAATACCTCTATTCTCTCTCTCTCCTTTTCTTGCCCACGCACCCACGTTGAAGAGATTGAGAGATTTGAAAAGCCGAGCGGCCCCCCATTCAGATCTCTCACACCGACAGACACCTCCAACACAATGGCCCCGAAGAGGGCCGTGTTAGTCATCTAGAAACATCTTCTGCTGCACATTACTAACTGTTAGGTACATACACGCAGAAGCACACACACATGCAGCAAACCCCCCAAGACTCTGTGGCCCACCCACATGACTTGTGATTTACTCTTATCTGCTGGAACACAGGACTGAATTGCAGCAGAGCTAAAGAGGCATGCTGTTAAAGAAAGCCATACAGTAAGCCGAAACAACAACAGAGGAGATGGTGGTATTGAAAAGCACTAAAACATTATGTTAGAATTCACGCATTATGAGTCAATGTTTGAAATTTACACTTAAAAACAACTTCTGAAAAACACCAATTATGTTTCAATGGGTGAATTTCACAAAAACAGGTCCAAGTCCACTAAATTTGTATTCTTTTTTTTTCACTGAGTAAAAACTAATTTGCAATGCATATACTGTAAATAAAAATGAATTATTAAAAAAGATTTATTATTTTGTTCTTGTTTATTTAGTGAAAAACATGTCTAGATAATTTTTTACTTTGATTTTGTACTGTTTTCTTATTAAGGTATTTCAAAGGTAAAAAAGAATCGCATACTGTAAATAAAAATGAACAAATATAAAAAAATAAAATTATTCAATATGTGTTTATACATGTGTTTATTTAGTAAAAATGTGAAAACATTTTACATTTTATTTTTGTATTGTTTTCTAATTAACATTTCACTAGAAAAATGAAATAACATTTCTATAAATAATTTAATTTAATTTTATAATTCAATTAAAAATGTAATTTATTTTATGACAATTTTCCACATTTCCCCAACAATTCTCATTGTAGTGAATTCTCATTGGATTCTCAATGCTATAACAAACTAATGGAAATAATCTTCAAAATTTATATAAGTCTTTAAATAAAAATATGCATAAATTAAAGACAGGGTATATCAAAAAACTTTATAAAAAAGTATTTTTTGCATTATAGTAATGATAGTTAATTTTTTGGTGCATTACAGTAATGACAGTTGGGGGGACAACATGCTTAATTGTCACCAAAATTATGTCACAATGTAAAAAAAAAAGATAGTACAAAATAATCTTCTTTAATTATCTCCAAAGTATAAATTCTCATTTCTTTCATTTGATTTTGTGGTGAACTCAACCTGCTCTGGACCAGGTTTTGTGAGATTCATCCCAACACTAACAAAGAAAATAGTTTTGGATGAATGACATTTCCTTTTTTTCCAGACAGTTTTCAAAGAAATGTCACAAAAGATGACTGCGAAACCTAACAGCTAACTCTCCTCGCATGCTCAGAGCAGAGATGATGTGAAAATGACAGTGACAGTGGAATCATATGTCTCTGAAATGGGTCATTACCTAATTTAGAAGAGTAGTAAAAGATGTTTTTTTTTACCTTGGTGAGACCCACCTGGAAGAACTCCGCTATGGCGGCTACATGACTGGCACAGGCACACTTCCTGGCATCAGGCACATCTTCACCAACCTGAACACATGTCGTCATATACGTGTTTATTCAAAGAACTGTAGAGTATGCATAAAAAAATGTCTTGCACACTTTGGAGTACTGGCAATATATAATAGTCTCAGATTGCTCCCCCAGGTAGTTACAACCACTGCATTCAGAAAACAAAAACCTGATAACCACATCCTTAAACCTTACATTGAAGTGAATACTGTGTTCCACAGCAACCATGGCATGCGTTTCCAAGGTAACAATACATTTAAGAGATACTGCCTCTTTAATAATTCAACTAAACAGGCAGACGTCTCTGATCAGCACCCATTGGAAAATAATCAAACTCACACAATTTAAAATAATTGCTGTGACAAAGGGATGAGTACTAAGAATACAAAGTACAAAATATGCTTGTAATTAAATGAAAATAGGAAAATAATGAAAGCATCTAAGAGTGTCTTTCATGAGTTGTGTCCAACAGCCAGTACTTCGCTTTTTACAGTTCAAAATACTGGCGGCAACTTAAAAATGGATGATCTAAATAGAACTAAAATCATGCCTGGAGGCTCGTTCTTATATTTTGTTTCCAAGGTAACAATACATTTAAGAGATACTGCCTCTTTAATAATTCAACTAAACAGGCAGACGTCTCTGATCAGCACCCATTGGAAAATAATCAAACTCACACAATTTAAAATAATTGCTGTGACAAAGGGACGAGTACTAAGAATACAAAGTACAAAATATGCTTGTAATTAAATGAAAATAGGAAAATAATGAAAGCATCTAAGAGTGTCTTTCATGAGTTGTATCCAACAGCCAGTACTTCGCTTTTTACAGTTCAAAATACTGGCGGCAACTTAAAAATGGATGATCTAAATAGAACTAAAATCATGCCTGGAGGCTCGTTCTTATATTTGATCTATTCTAAGCAATATTATCCAGTGATTCAGCAATAACGTTTGCCATACAACTCATGTTTAAAAAATCTAAACGCCTTCAAGCCACTAACTGTTATACTGCCCCATATCAGCCTAACCACAAGTTAACGTGTCTTCTAATCTAATCTTGGATTTTTAGCAAAATAGCAATTTCATAACTACTAATTCAGGATTGTGGGGGCCTGACGTGGGGTCTTGCTCCGACCACCATCACAAAATTATTTCCTGCCTTTGTATGATAAAAGAACGCATGTCTGATTTCAGGGCAGCACCGATGTTGATTGACTGTGGTTATGTTGACTGCTGTGTCTTTGTTGACCTCTAGAGCCAGTGTTCTTGCTAACGGGTTTCAAAATTCACTGAACGCAGGTTGTTGCGTCATCTCACCCAGTTGATGAGGATGTAGCGTGGCAGGGCTGCGCTGGGCTCCTTCAGGCTGCAGAAACCGTACATGATCAGAGTGTTATCGAAGGCTACTGCAATCTCTGTCAGACCCCCATCTGTCAAACACAACAATCACACTGTTAAGAAAGAAAAGTCCATTTTTTGTGTACTAAGTGCAAAACAAAAAAAAGTACATCTAATCAAGTCATTTCATAACTACTAATTCAGGATTGTGGGGGCTTATGTGTGGGGGTCATCAGAAAATTATTTCCTGTCTTTTTAAGATAGTTGTTAGATCTATTTTTTGTTAGCACTCACTACAAAAATACCACTGGAATAAGAAGTATAGTAATATTTACTAGTTTATATATACACATTACTAGAACAGGTAACAACTTAAAACAGATTTTTTGAGAGAAATAAATATATATATATATATACTTATGTACTTATATATCATTCTATATATTCACAGGGCCTAAAACTAACTTTTTGCCACACCTGCCAATGGTAATATGATCAAATTTTACGGCCCCAATTTTTTTTTACTGGCCATGAAACTCTTTTTGCAAAAACAGACAGTTATTACTACTACAATAACTAAACATATTAAAATATATTTTTTTATTTGTCCTGCTGGTGCATTTTCCCTAAATGTTACCTATTAATTATAGCCATTCAACATTACAGTATAATTGAAAGCCATTATTTTTAACATTTAATAGGCTCTGAAATATATGACAACTCTTCATTTAAGTGATTTTAAAACAATCTTCACATAAACTATATTATATATGCATAAACTATACATATTAATCTTTATTCAAGCTATGAAAGTTAATCAGCGACTAGAACAGTCCAAGGATTGCTCTTTTTCTTTTGTTCTTTGATTTACATCAATGACGGACTTCACCAGGTTTTACAGGTTATGAAGAATGAAGAAGGGAAAAGTTAATCTTCCGAAATGAAGCAGCAAAATCTTCTCAGGTAAAAGTTATTAGAACCGTGTCTAGGGACAAGGCCATCACACTGCTCTGACCTTATCAGTCCGTTTGTACCCTATTATTCGATTTGCTCTTGTCGCTTATGACAGAACAGCTAATCACGATGATCTGGTCTTCGGAAAATATTTTTTTATTCGCTTATGTCAGAAACAGTGAATCTCTTTAAAACGGGCTGTTGTTCCCACTAGATTGCATTGTTATAATTCGTAAAAGTTGTAAAAAAAAAAATTATTTTATAAAATAATAATAATAATAATAAATGTTTAAACAAAATAATTCTTTTAAAAAAAATATACAATTCTAATCTCTAATCTGCTGCAAATGCTTCCTATTTAATCACCACGTGTGCTGGCTACCCATTATGCCCATAACTATGATCGGTTACTGCATCTCATGAGAGGTGTAAATGTGCAAATGGACAGAAATAGATCTCTGGAGAGGGTTTGGATAGACATACACACACACACACACACACACACACACACACACACACACACACACACACCAACAGTCTGGTGGAAGTTCTTTCCTGTTCCGGAAAGAGGATGTTACACAAAGCAGCAGACACATAAGCCCACTACTTACTGCCCACATAAAAAATGTAATTCCATGTGCATGATTTCAATATGCAATTTTCCCTAACTCTGTGTACACTAAACTGATCTAAATGAAATACCACTCTTGGTCATTTAAACTGATAATTTGAAATTGCACTTGGATAAATTGGATAATTTCTGCTTTGAAATCTGAGCTATATTTTTTTCATTTTTCATGTTGTAATTTAAATATCTCATAAGTTTGCATGAATAGCAAGAATGCATGCTCTCCCTGCTCTGCGTGGCATCATTCTCATACTGTGCTGTTTACAGTTTTTTTTTTTTTTTTTACATCGCTAAGATATAATATTGTTTCTGAAAACTGCAGCAAAATTATGGTTTTAGATACAAATACTTCAGAAACAAAAAAAGTCTAACTATACACTGTAAATAAACATTGCGGGAAATCTCTTGCAAACAGACTTTCCACAATAAATCCAACTTCTGAATGGTGTTCTCTGTGCTAATCAACACGGCCCTTAATAATAACCTTCCATCAGTCACAGACTAAATGATTGTCATCAGTGTGAAATGACAGGTTTCCCTCCTCCGGCTCTGAGGGAAAACAGAGACTGTGCAGCTTGATGCACTATAATAGTTTGAAAATGCAGTGAGATTAGAACTGCTGAGTGACGGTTACTTCCGGTGTTTGGGATCTGTGCTTAGATGGCGGGATTACAGTCCATTGAGTTTTATGAATATTTACAGTAGATATGCTGCAAATGAATAAAGACATTTATCTGTGCACAACACTAGCAGTGTTAATATCACATTTCATGTGCTTGGCCTCTGTCACGATACAATCGCACAGTGGCATTCACTAGCACAATCATGGTACATCAACAATGCAAATTAATGTCATCAGTCACAGCCGACAGCATTATTGCTTGTGCATGACTACATTCTGGTTGGTTATTATTGGATTGTCTATATTTGGACAGGAAGTATGTTGAGATGTAGCCTACCTCCTGAAGCAGACAGGATCAAATCGTTACTGTCATCTTCATACGAGTATAAGGCCCTGCAGAACAGAAAAAGAAGAATAATTTTAGTAAAGCAAATATTCAAAGAAATCAACAACAACAAAAATAAATCAATACAATTTCACAATATATTAAAACTATATTGGATACTGGCCAATATTAGAATTAGATTAGGACAATATTAGACAGACAGACAGACAGATAGATGGATAGAATTGCACATTGAAATCATATGTAAAATATAATGGGACATTAATTATTTGTGCATCCCTAATATTCTCATAGGGAAAATCATAAGTCTAGCCATTTAGAAAAGTAAAAGCACAACTCTCCTCAACAAGTCGCTTGATTTGAGGCATAATTCATGACCGCAGCGCAATTGCTGTGGGACAAGTTACATGCCCCGGTTTTATACTTCTAGGGTTAGGGGTTTGTTCAAAGCAAGTACATAAAACACAATAAAACAAACTAATGAAAAAGTTTTTATTTCCAGGTCAGTCCCATGCACAACCTCTTTATAAATCTCATCTCCACGGTACTGACAGACTGGAATGCATTCTATCCAGAAGGCCAAAGCAGTGCAGTTTGGGTCAAGGGTGCTGTTAGCTCGGAGGAGAAAATGGCATTATCCTCTGACTGTCATCTGAGAGCTCTGTGTAGGAGGATAAAATATGGAGCACTGGTACTTGTTATGCTTCTAATAAAAGTGAAACGACTGCATTTTCATCCCATCTCACGCTTACCTGCAAAACAAGAAGGATTCGGGTAACAACTGTGCATTCTAAACGGATATCTAGAGATAATAATGAATTGTGTATGCTCAGATAAAATACACCCTAGCGTTTCCAACATGCCGAGGCTTTGATGTTTCATTCTTTAAATATTGGAGGTAATCATTAACATACTGTAGTGCACAACTAATCTCATTCCCCATCACTACGAAATAATGAGTAGGAGTTTGGTGCTACGCTAGTAAAGACAACAAAGAGAAGAACAGAAGTTCTACAGCCGTAAGCTACAACATGAAGCATGGGAAATGGATGAAAATGGTTTCACTGTTTAGATGAACCGATGTACGGTGTTGTGAATATACTGTCCCAAAGCCTAATTAAAACAGGAACTTTATGGAGTAGAAACTGTGTAAACTTAATTGTATAGCATGTGCACTTGTAGTGTATGTCAAATCTCAAGTGTACTTAAAGGGGATACACTTTCAAGACTATGTTTCTAATACACTTTTAAAAAGTGCACTTTGTAGTAATGTCAGATTAAAACTTTTACTTTAATCATTATGTTTTAATAATCTTTTGTTGTGCTTTAAATAATTACACTTGTCCCATAAATTCCAAGTTCCAATAGAAATGACATTAAATTAGCAATTTTTTAGGTTTACCATAAATGCTTGTCAGTTCATTCTGTAGTACAGCCATCTGCTGTCAGAGAGAGCGTCTCTCACATGTTCCGCCATGTGCTTCTCATCCGCGCTTGTTTACATCAGAGTGAGGACTCCTCTTTCATGCAGCATACAGCGGTGCTGTGCATTTTGACCAGTTGATGGGAAAAGTATTCTTAAAATACATTCAAAACTCTGAATAATTTGTATTATATAATTATTCACGGTATTTAGAAGTGCCACAATAACAATATCGTGCATATTCATTACCGTGATATATCCGAATACCGGCACAAGTCTACCGTTGTGATGCCAAAGTCTTGTGCAAGGCTAACAGAGTGTTGCTATTTGGTTATTAAAGTGTTCTGAGTGTTTTTTAAGCAAACTGCTATTTTGGTTACTAGGGTGTTCTAAATGTGTTGCTAGGTGGTTGATTTAGTCTCAATGATATTTTGTTCTGTAAATCTGTAGAACTTTCAGCATCCATAAGGCTAAAATTGTGTCCAAAGCACAAGGATGATTTAAACGCCAAACTGTGATACGTTGGGTCCTGCCAAGGGAGTGGGACGCAAATCCAAAATACAGGACTTCCATTTCCCTCAAGTTATCTTCCAGCCTTTATACTGACAGGCTTACAAAGAGACACATATTATAATGCAAACAATCATATGCAAATGATCTAGAGCGCTGAGAGAAAACAAGATATCTCAAAGCTGTGCAATATTTGCAGCCAAGGGTAAAATTACTGTACGGCTCATCTGAAATATGAATTATGAAGTTACATGTTGATAGTGCTAGAACAAAATGAACAAATATCTCACCAGAGAAACAGTGTGGTTGAAGGTCAAACGGGTTGATTTGGATCTGACTGTGTGTTATAATGACAGTAATGTTAGTGTGCTATGGTCAATTAATCTCCATTCCCCAAATCCTTAATTAAACATAATCAGCTTAGGTAAATGACACTTCATGATGTCAAATGAAGTCAGTTCATTGATGATGATGCCATCATACAGTTCAGATCTCTTCCAATAGTTGCTGGTCAATCAAACCGACAATATTGCCAGAAATTAAGCGTCCCCAACTAAGCAAGCCAAAGGCGACAGTGGCAAGGAACCAAAACTCCATTGGTGACAGAAATGGAGAAAAAAAACCTTGGGAGAAACCAGGCTCAGTCAGGGGGGACAGTTCTCCTCTCGTTTCTACCATGATTCATTGGCCAAAACTAAATGCAGCATCCAATGCTCATTATGTTAAGTTCTTTTGATAAATAATGCAATATGTAATTTAATGAAATAAATGTGTATTTAAAGTAGTGATGTAAGATATATTGGTACCATGTTACAGATTTGATCAATTCATTGGTGGTGGTTGATAATGATATTAGATATTTTATTGTGCATGATAACTTGCCTTATTTTTACATTTAGATAACCTTTGTCATCATCTAAACTAAATCAAAACGATAGTTCACTCAAATAGTGCATTCTGTCATCATTAACGCCCATAAAACCTCATTCATTTTTTTAAACACAAATGAGAGATTATTGTCCATCCACAAAGTGCATTCCACCAATACTTTGATGCTTCAAAAAGTTAATGAATAAGTAGTAAAAGTAATGCTACTGTAATAATAATCCATATGAACCGAGCGTTTTAATCAAGAAAGTCCTCTGAAGAGATCTTAAGATCTTAAATTGGGTTTCAAAGATGACTGAAAGTTTGGAATTTTCAAAAAATACTCCATATTTACACTTTTAGAAGGAAATTTGTAGGGTTACCAGAGCATTGCTAGAGGGTTGCTTGGGGGAAACCCAAAGCACAAAGCACCACTAATAAAAGTGAACTAATGAGATTGTGCATTCAAATATAGGATGAGTGAATATGGTCTTTTTGAAACTTCTACTGGACATAATTTTGGGTCCTATTATGTTTATTTTAGTTTGTGCATATGTTTGTGGTTTATCATGGATGCCCCAGAATATGGAGTCACAAGACACAATAATGGTGAAAAGACAATAACTCTGGCCCCCAGTGCAAGGTCATGCATTATGCGTATCCAGTACAGAAAGAGTTGAAAGAATCCAATCCATCACATGTGATTACTTGAATCCTGCAATTATTATGTTGATTATAGAGGAGCTGAAAATGTGTCACGTGCTCACTGGAAAATATATACCCTACAGTACCAAAATAGAACTACTTGACTATGCTCTAATTGTTTTCTGTCTGAGTGGTCCCACAATTAAACATCTAGGGCAGAATCCTCAACCCTTGCCTTCACCAAATATTCCCCTTTACTCCAACATTAGTTCCTCTTTCATCACCTCTCCCCGTACCATTTCCTCTCTACCAAATATCATCGTTCCCATCAGGGGCCCCAGCCTGAGTCATTGGGTCCCCATTTACAGTCTGTCTCACAATCCCCCCAGCTAACATAAGGGTAAAAAGAAAATAATACACTCAAAAGAGTATGGGGGAAATATTAAATACCGCAAATGTCAGTGTCACAGAAACTATATCACAGAAAATAATACAGGAAGGAGATGCAGCATTTGCTGTTTTGCTTATATAAATATTCCATTTAAAGCAGACTCGTTTTATTATTCATAACAGACTCTCATGACCTAGAAACGTGGCTCAGAGCGTCGACGAGCCCAGAGTGAAGCTAAGCGTGATTTGCGCGAGCCCCTGAGTGGGAAGCCCCTCTATTGTCTCGCAGGGTGGGAATCATACGAACAAACTCTCTGTAGCCACGCTAATTAAAACTTTCCTTTTATGGGAATGAAATGTTGCTGCATTCTCACCATATCAACACTACATTCCTTGCAAGAGTGACATGATGCTAATTTTTTGTCCTGATTTATTAATTGATAAAAAAAAAACGCAACCATATACGATATTGTGAATACACCTCTTCTGTGATGAGCATAATTTTAATTTCTGAACTACAATACTTTTTGATAATTTTGGGATGACAAAGCCAAAAATGAACCAACCATCCTGATATTATAATAGAGAAAAAAAAGCTTTTCATTTTCTAAATGTTATTTAATAAATGCAATTCTTTAAAAGAAACCCTATTTATAATTTGGAATAATTGTTTCTTGCAATAATGTTAATATTTTAAACAAAACTGCTTCAATGCTTATTAATGTTTGAAAATATTTTGTAAAAAAATAAATCAAGTAATGTAATGCGACCAATAAAATTAATGTAGTGTACACAACATGCAGAAAAAAAAACATGAAACAGTATAATATCATGACAAAACAGCAATGATATCATAGAGGGGGCACATGTAGACCCTCTTCATGAAATCATCAAGTCAAAAAGTCTATAAATAATTTGATCTTTTAATGGCATGGCAAAATTAGTTCAGGATTTAAAATGTCATGGGGTGTAACGCCACAAAAATTCATATTCTTTTAAAAATACTTTTAATCTCCCCAAAATATGTTCAAACATTGAAAATAGTGAAAAGACTCAAATGTTGTTCTTTTCATTAAATTGAATCTTTTCATTAAAATAAATTTCTTTAAAACCATATGATGAATTCAAGAACTGGCACATTTCTAGTGTTTTAATCTAAATTTTAAATATTTTATTTTCATTACTTTGAACAATCTTGTATGTCACTGATCC